GCATTTGTATCCAGTGCCTGGATACTAAGCACTTTAGTTAATGCCTTGTGTGGCTGTATGAGTCTTTTCAGCCTTATATAGCTATTTGAGTTGAGCTCAAAATGAAGGCCCTTCCAGACACAGGGAATTATGTGAGCAAAGGCAGAGTTGGGAGAGCCTAAGGCATATGTGGAAAATGATCTCTGTTTCACTGAGTATAGTGTGCATTTTAGAGAGTAATGAAATGTACCAGATTTTGGAACACCTTAAGTGCCAAAGAAGATTGAAGCACAGGTCTCCTGGCTCTGAGTTCCATGTCCTTTCCTTTGCACTCACCTGAACACCGACACAAGGCAAAATATGTTTCATTGTGGGGCCAGACTCTGCAGATCCCACATGAAACTACAAATGTAGGTTGGTGTAGTGTTGTTAAATCGCTTTCCATCGTGTCAGACTCTTCATGACCCCGTCTGGGGTTTTCTTGGCAGAGATACTGGAGTGGTTTGCCATTTCCTTCTCCTGGTCATTTGACAGATGAGGAAACTGAGGCAAACAGGGTTAAGTGACTGCCCAAAATCACAAGGCTATTAAGTGTCTGAGGCCAGATTTGAACTCAGGAAGATGAGTCTTCTTGACTCCAGGCCCAGTGCTCTGTGCACTATGGCGCCACCTAGCTCTCATGTTGGGGTATGGCAAAATGGAATTGAGCACTTAGTAGTTGCTTGCTGTGTGTGAGTCACTATTATTATTATGTGAGCTGCCATATTGTAGTAAGAACATTGATTAATTATTTAAATTTCATGCTTCTTGAATGTTTTAAATTCTGGATATAAATGGGGTTATTTGGGGACGTACATGACAGTAGCTCCGACAGTGTTATCTTGTATGATAGGCACTGGGACAGGGATCTTTCCACATCCTTGTATTTGACATGAGCTGTGCTACCTTGGACAGGTCTCATTACCTCTCTGAGCCCTAGTTTGTTCCTCTGGGAATGAAAAGATTGGACTAGACAGTTTAGAGGGCCCTCTCCACTCGGACATTCTCCAGTTCTGTAAGCTGCTGTACGTGTGAGGAAGGTCACTGTGGCAGACTGTTACATTGGTCTGTCTTTGTGTTGGTAAAAGGGAAAGGAAGAAGAGGAGGACAGCATGATGTGCTCTCCTTGCATGGCTAAGAGAGAAGAGTTGTACAGCGAAAGAGGAGGGAAGCCTGTCCTGGCCTCAGTTTCCCTGTGTGCATTGTAGGAGGGCTGGAAGCTCCTGGAGGAGGGAGGGGAGGGGGCCGTCCTTCTCTTTTCAGCAGCCTGCCCTGGACCTCACCTCAAAGACAGAGCCCACATGCACGGGATGTACAGACAGGCTGGCTCGCAGTGAGGCGGTGTGTTTAGTGTTCACTGGGGATCTGTCTAAACACTGGGATAACCCGTCAGGGCCAGGAATGAATCCACTCCACTCAGCGCCAGCCAGACCCAAACTCTGGTCCTGAGGCCAGTTCTGGGCTCCGCCCTGCGTAGAAGCCAAGCACATCACAGGGGGATCAAGGACTGGAAAATGTGACCCGAGTGGAAACGTTGGAGGCTAAGGCAGGGAGGCCCCCTGGAAGGGGGCTGCAGGCAGCCAGGTGTGAAGTGATCCGGCTCGCGAGTGCAGCTGGAAGGATGGCGACAATGGGCTGGGTATGAGCAAGGGAGGAGAGAAATTGGCAGTGCTCCCCGGTGGAACAGCTGTCAGGGCCGAGCCAAAGATGGGGCCCCAGAGGAGAATGGTGCCATTGATGCCGACAGGGAGGTTAAGAAGAGGTAACAGCTTAGGGGGCCTCCTTTTCTGACATGAAGCTTTCGGTATTTGGGGGACAGCCATGTGGAGATGTTCTGTACATACCACATGTCAAAAAGCATGGAAGATGAGAAACCAGGACTGAGGAGTCAGCATAGTGGGAAGAGCCCTGAGCTGGGCTACAGGAAACCTAAGTCTTAGACACTGGCTTTGCCCCTCACTCGTTGTGTGATCCAGTGCAAAGCATTTCACCCCCCTGGGCCTCACCTGGAAAGCAGAGATACTGGGCTAGTGATCATTAAGGTCCTCTCTGTCTATGATTTTCTGAAAACATCGTCATGATTCTGTGAGATGCCAGCTTTGTAATGTGGTGCAGGGTATAATAATAGTAATTGATATTTATGTAGTGCTTTCAGGATTCCAAAGCACCGTACATTTTACCCTTACAGTAATCTTAGGGCATAAGGTAGCTCCATTTTCCAAATGAAAGAAGTGAGTGACTTGGCTTACATCATGAAACTAAGAAGTATCTGAGGCAGGATTTTCATCCAGATCTTCCGGGATCCAAGTCCACTCTCTCATACTGCCTCTCCAGAGGCTTGGCTTGGGAGTTGGCACTTGGGTCATTTTAACAAGAAAGAAAAGTGGCACAACCTGTGTCATCCCTGAGCCTTCATCTGCTTTGCTGTGCAATGAAGGGATTGCCCCGTCTTCAGTATCATGATCCTTTCTTTCTCTGGAGATATCCCTCCTACCTGGTGTTAGCTGTAACTGTGTGTTGTGTGTGAATGAATTTCCCTGGTAGGTGAGTATAGAGGCTAAGAGCAAGGGGGCTGAAGACTAAGCCTGGAAAATAAGAGGACAGAGCTTAGAGACACGAGAAAAACTAGGCAGGGTCTGGGGAATGGAAGCTAATAGTAGACTAGCCCCTGTCTGCCACTGAGTCGCTGAATGAGCTTGATTCTTCCCTAGGCTTCATTTTCCTTTATTCTAAAATGGCGATTGAGCGGTTAGTAGATACTTACTACATGTGAGTCACTGATAGGTGCAGGCCTTACTCCCCCAGAGTTTAAAATCTAGCAGGGAGATAAGGCGTGGAGACATAAAGTAATCGAGGGCTCCGTGTTGTATGCCCAGTGAATGAGAGTTCAGAGAGAAGAAGGTCAGCAGGAAGGGAGAGTCACAGAATGGGGGATCTTGAGCAGAGCTGTAAAGCATGATCACGTAGAGATTAGCCTACTTAGTAAACCCCCCAGATATACGTCGGCTTGTGGCATGAAAGGCAGCCGATTTGGAAGAGAGACGACCCAGGTTCAAACCCCAGCTCTTGTGCTTCCTGGCTATGGACAGATTACTGAAGCTCTCTTGGCATCATTTTCCTGATCTGTAAAATTACAATGATGCTGTTTCTGCTTTCCCATTTGTCAATGTAAAGCCCTTTGGTCATCTCCCTCACCCTTAGCCCCTCCATCTGGAAAGTCTGAATCCTAGCCACGCTTCTTCTCAAATGACGTTTGTCGATTAAACGGAGCTCATAAAGCTCCCACTGTCTACCTCACAGGGTGGTTGTAAAGGAACCGGTCTGTGCCACGCTGTGCTAGGTGCTGGGGAGACGAGTACAAAGAGTGTTTGAAGTGCATTTTCCTTCTGTTGGCAGACCCAACAAGTACATATGTAAATACAAGCGGAGTAAATCTAGAAAGATGGATGCAGCCGGGAGGTAGGTCAGTAGATCTGTAGGTAGGTAGTTGGCAGGCACTGGCAGCCAGAGAGGGGGTCAGGGGAGGCTCCATGCAGAAGGCAGCACTTGAGCCAAACCTCGAAGGAGGAGAGGGATGAGGTGTGGAAGATGCCACTGAGGAGGGTGGGCAGGCAGAGGATGTTCTGTGCATGAGGGCCGACCCCCGCACAGGGACCAGAGAGAGAGGCCAGCACCCTCAGACTGTGGGGTGCAAGAAGGAGCGTCATGTACAATGAGGCTGGAAAGGCAAGGTGAGCTTGGCTTGTCAAGATAAGATAACGTTTTCTCTTAGAAGCGGGAGGGAGCCCCTGCAGTTTATTGAGCAGGGTAGTGACGTGGTCAGATACATGCTTAAGGAGGTACCCAGTGGTAGCTATCACAAGTTTCTTGAGCACAAGCACTGTTTGTTTTTGCCTTTAGACCCGCTGTGCTTTGTACACAGTAAGTATGTAAAAATGTCTGAATTAAACTGAAATGTGGCACTGTGGATGGAGTGCTGGATTTGAATCTGGGCCCAGATTTGAATCCTCTCTCTGTTACTGACAAGCTGTGTGGCTTGGACCACATCATTTGACTTCTCTGGGCTTCAGTTTCCTCATCTCAAAAATGAGGGTTTAGGTGAGCTGACCTTTGCAGTCCCTTTCAGCTCCAAGTCTATGATCTTGTGAAATTAAATTGGGCTGCCATGGCCAGCCTCGTGGCCAGCCAGCTGGATGACGAGGTCCTCCCGGTGCTTCTCTTGGTGGGTGACATTGTCCCAGTGCATCGTACCCCAGAACGTTAGAGTTACCTTCAGGAAATCCACAGTAGCCCAATTGCCAAATCATTCACACAGGGAAAGTCATGTGGGTGAAAAATGCCCCTTGTCCAGGCTAACGTGGCGTTGGCGAGCAATTGTGGAGTTAGTCCATCTCTCCGCACATTTGGGTCAGGCAGCCTCTGCAGGGGGACAGTGAGAAAGGCTCAGATTGAGCTGGGGGAGGTGGTGGGGCATTGGAGAAACCATATGTGCTCCTTTGTGACACAACAGCCTCTCCTTTTGACACCAGAATTCTTCCACATCTTGGGACTGACACAGTCTCTGAGGACGCAGAGTTGTAGGCAACCACCAAGGTCACTGGGGAGCTGCGTGATGGGCACGAGCGGGTTGTTGGAGTATATTTCCAGCTGACCAACGCATAAGGCGTAGCGCGTAGAGAATGTGTGATTGGGAATCAGTGGGTCACTTGGGAAGTTAGAGCTGGCACAACAACTGGACAGCCTGGGTATGGCACTGGTCACTAGGAAAGGTGGAGCATGCCTACAGCAGTGCCTCCCACAGGTGAGGGGTCCTCTCCGAAGGACTCAAGAGGCACTGACTGGAAAGGCGTGGATGGGCTATGATCTGAACTGTGGGGCGGAGTACTTGCTTCAGTGAGATCACAGATCCATTGGAGGGATGAGTTCAGTTGCTCTTTGTTAATGAAGAACGTTGTTTAACAAGTCACATTTTCTTTTTGCAGGCTTGGTGGCATCTGCCTACCACCTTGTGTTTTTCCCACCTGAATCAACTGCCGAGGGAATATTAAGGGCTGGGAAATTTACGTTCTCCATGGGTAAGAGACCCCTGTCGTTCTCTGATGTTGTGCCCCCACCCCCTTCTCCAGTCTTATCTCTTACTGCTTCCCTATGTTTACCCTCTGGGCCAGTTAGCCTAAACTGCATTCTTTAAGATCCAGCTTAATCCTGATCCACTCCTCCAGGTCCCAACCATCTCTTCTTACCATGTATCACAGTGATTTGTGTACCTCTGAACTGCCTTGAGGACAAGGACTGTAGTTTTTTAAAATCTTTATATTCCCCACACCTAAGGCAGAGCCCAAGCAGAACCAGTTCAGTGGATGAGGAAATGACCCTCCAGTACTCCCCGTAAACTCTTCAAGGGAAGAGATGGCAGCATTAGCACAATTTGTGTCCCTAAAACACAGCGGGGAACAGGATCTCCTACAGAGAGAGTGAATGAAAATGAATGTCTTCCCAACGAGACTTGGGACTACTCCAGGGCAGGTCTTGTACCCCTGTCTCCCCTGTGTCAGAGCCCGGCAGGGGGCAGGGGGAAGCGTGCTGGTTGGGAGGTGAAGCATGGTCTGATTCAGGGTTGGCACCCGTCACCACCGTAGATGTGTGCTGCCACATGACCCGAGACACCCTCTGCTCAGTCACCCAGCCTGGAAGAAGCAGCCTGAGAGCTGGGGCCGGCTCAGGTGTCTCCTCTCCAACCGTGGTCCTCTTTCCACTGCATCACATTGCTTATGCTGTCTTTTGTCCCACAGTAAGCACATCTTGAAAGCCTGAGCTCTGGGCAAGGGGGGTCCTCCCACATTTTAGTCTGAGGCAGCTTGGCACCGTAGATGGAGGGCTAGATTTGAAGTCAGTGGACATGAATCATCCCAGCTACTCGCTGTGGGATTGTGAGCAGAGCCTCAGTTTCCTTATCTAGAAAACCAGAGTGATCATTCTTACATTACCTACATCTTTTGGTTACGAAGAAAGTGCTTAGCCAAACTTAAAGCACCATTGGGGTACTGTTGTTATTTTTATTATTATCAGTCACAGTACATGTGGAAGTGGCACTGTCAGGCCTAGCACCTCAGTGCTATGGTACATGAGGTACCGCTTCCTGCCCCCAGAGAAGGCACACACCATCAGAAACTGTAACACTGAACAGTCAAATTCTTGCCTGTCTCTGGCCCTCCTCCCTGTAAGCCATTACTCTTTTCATGTGGCAATGGACAGTTGTAGTTTCTCTCTGATCTAGATTGCCGTGTGCCTTTCTTAGCCTAAGTAGAATTGCTGAATAGTAGAGTACAACATCTGTGCAAAGGGGCTCTCCTGAGGCCCCCTCCTTGGCCCGCTCTCTCCTGACAGCTAGAATTCTGCTCCTCACTGGCATTTATGAGGCACTCTGAGGGTTGCAGAGCCTCCTCCTTTGTTATGACAATCCTCTAAGCCAGGGACTGTGGTGAGCCCTGCCTCGGATCCTCCAGGAGGGAGAGTGCCAGCCCAGGCTTCACCTAATACTAAAACCCTGGCACTGGGCCATACCGCCTCAGCGGTTCACAGGTGGAAGGGAAAACAGAAGCCCAGGGGGGGAAGTGACTTTTCCAAGGTCACACAATGAGGCGTCAGAGAGAGTCAGGACTACAGCCCAGATCTCCTGGCTCCCAGGCCAGGCATTTGGGGGTCTAGTCCCTCACCTAACTGCTGGTAAAAATATTTCTCTGCCAACTGAAGTTTGGGGGTCCTAATGGGCCTGGTGAGGCTGGGTTGGACAGAGGGCTGGCAGCAAAACTGCTGAGTATCTGCCTGGTGCCTGGTGCTGCTTCCTTCACAACCACTCAGTGAGGGATTCAGTGCAAACATTCTTTTTCTCCTTTTCCCCCTCCCCCTTTTTCACTCAGTTCAAATCTGTGTGAACTATGGGTGTAGAAATTCCCTCCACCAATGTAAATTGGCATTTCATTTATAACTTAGAGTCATAAGAGAAACTACAAAATCCCCCTTATGCAGAAAACTGAGGCTGAGGCCTTTCTGTGGTCACAGAGTAAATAAATGTCAGAGCCAGTTTTCCGGACCAGTCTCTTCACTCCTACATTCAGCGCTGTTTCTGCCACAGAATGAAAACGATTTAGTTATAGCTTCCCCTGAAATATGACTTGGAGCGTGATGGCAGTTGGGGGGGAAGGAGGGGGTGTACCCTCTCAGGAAGGACTAGTTCCTGGGGGAAAGAAGAGTCACAAAAGAGCATGGTAAACACTGTGTATCAAATTAGTAGGAGCTCTAGTGGGCGGCCCCTATAGCGTGGACTCTTGCTGTTCTGATGCTTTTCTTAGTGATGCAGATGAAGCTACAGAGAACAGGTTTCCCAAATTTCCAAGTGACTGAAGTCACCCAGGCAGTCCCATCTTGTCATTTCCAGGTGCACTGGCCTTTTGTCCACACGAACCATCCTATTAAGTGACCAGAGCATGGCTGGAGTGTCCTTTTTGTCTTTTCTCAGAGGAAGCCAAGCAGTGTAAACAGCCCTGGGCTTTGTTCCTTAATCTTTATGTAGCTTTAAGAAACTCACTTTTCCTCAGCAGCAGAATGATGGTTGTACTGTATGACCTCCAACGGCCCTTTCAACTCCAGATCCCATGATCCTAGCAAGAAGAAGACATAATCTAGGCCAGGGGTGGGGAACCTGCAGCCTCAAGGCCACATGTGACCTTCTAGGTCCTTGGGTGCGGCCTTTTGACCAAGTTTTACAGAACAAGTCCTTTTATTTTATTAAGGGGACTTGTTCTGTGAAGTTTGGATTCAGTCAGAGGGCCACACTTGAGGACCTGGAGGGCCACACTTGAGGACCTAGAGGGCCACATGTAGCCTCAGGGCCACAGGTTCCCCACCCCTGGTCTATGCCCTCAAGAGCTCCAGATGGGGAGCACACGACCAGAAACCTTGAGCTAGCATGAGTTAGGAAGGCATATGCTGGAACCCTGCCTCACACCTACGTTGCCTTGGGCAAGTTACTTAACCTCTCTGAGGTCCAGGATTTGGTTACCTCTCAGGTACTTTGCTACCTTTAAATCTATGATTCTGCGGTAGGACGCCAAGCTGGGAGGGATAGCTAACATGTTGACAACTGGAGATCTGGCCAGGCTGCCATGATGATGGGCATGGGCCAGGCCTATCCATTCAGCAGTCAAAAGTAGTAATGATAAAGCCTAGCATTTCCTTAGTGCTTTAAGGTTTGGAAAGCGCTTCACATGTTGGCTCATTTGATTTGACTCCTCCTGTCACTCCATGGATTTTCTTGTGGTGACACAGACCCCAGGTTGTCCACGTCTTCCCGTCTCGTCCAACTGTTCTTCCTGCCCTTCAGTAAATTCTTCGCAGAGGATTCACCCAGTGCCCTGGAGACATTTTAGTTTAGGGGTTCTTAGTCCATGAATGTGTGCATGTCTTTAAATATTTTGGTAATTTTATTTCAGGATAATTAGTTTTCTTTGTAAATGTGTTTTATTTTTTGCATTTAGAAGTGTTCTGAGAAAGGGTCTGGCCATAGGTTTCAGCATACTGATAAATTATGGGGAAATGGTGGGGAGGGGCGAACCATGACACAAAACTTAGAATCCCTGCTCTGTCTTACAGCCTTTTAACATCTGGTAAGTAGTGCAGTACTCAGTTGCCCATCTTATCCTTTGCTTTCAGTCCACCTCCTTTTTCAATCATACGTTTCCTGGATACCTTTTATGCCATTTCTGGCATACAGGCCATTGTTGCCGCAGCCTATTTCCAGCCTACCTGTGTCTCTCTCTACCTTGCTGTTTGGGCCATCTAGAATCTTTGTTTTTTAGCTATTGTGGTGTTATGTGATTCACAGTCTTAGCGTCAATGAAAAAATACAGTCTAATTTGATAATATTGAATAAAGTTAAATGTAAAATTCTTTTTTTGAGTTTAAAAAGTCAAATTCAGCTAGGTGGTGCAGAGGATGGAGCGCCGGGCCTGGAGTCAGTAGGACCTGAATTCAAATCCGGCCTCAGCCCAGACATTGACACTTAGTAGCTATGTGACCCTAGGCGAGTCACTTAACTCCAATTGCCTCTCCAAAAAAAAAGTCAAATTCATATGTAAAAAGCGGGAGAAGTATAGCTAGACTTGTGAAAATAAAATGTATAGATTTGGAGGACTGCACGCTTTATGAGTCAGTATAGCAGCATGGCAACCCGAAGGGCTACTAGAATATTGGGCTGCATTAAGACAGGGCCAGAGCGCCCAGAATGAAAGAGGTAAGGGCCCTTCCACTCTGCCCTGATCATGCCACATCTGAAATACAGGGTACAGGCCAGATGCCATATTGGAGGGGAAATGTTGAGTCCCTGGAGAATGCACAGAGGGTGGCGGCCATGAGAAAGAACCTTGAGAACCAACTGGACCAACTTAAGCTGGAGAAAAAAAGACTTGGGGGTGACATGATGGCGGCTTCAGGAATTTGAAGGCCTGTCCTATGGAAAGGGGGTTAGGCTTATTCTCAGCCTGGTCCCAGAAGGAAAACTGGGACCAGTGGATGGAAGCTGCCAAGAAGGTTGAGACTCAACAGTTGGAAGAACTTAGTAGTTAAAATTATTTAGAAGTGAAATAGGTTGCCTGGGGAAGCAGTGGGATGCCAGGCACATGGCTGGCTAGAGGAAGACTGCTTCACCGCTTGTCGAGAGATGTTTCAGAGGGAATTCTTGGTCTGGTGCAGGTTGGACTACATGGCTTCTGAGATTTTGTGATTCCCTTAGGTCCCGGTCCCTCCAGGTCTGGCATTCTGTGGTTCCAGCCAGTTTGGAGCTTTTCACTTAGTGGCTGTGTGACCCTGGGCCCTTCTCACTGCAGGTCTATGATTCTGATTCTTTTCTTGGCCTTGAAAAGCTTTGCATCTGTGTTTTTTGTCTCCTGAGCAGGAGAGATTTTAGTTGGTGCGGTTTCTCATGCTTTATCTCCTGTTCTTCCCCCACCCCTCTAATTATAGCTGCCGTAGGTGCCATATTTGGGATCACTTCCTGTGTCAGTGCTCAAATTCGGGAAAAACCAGATGACCCCCTGAACTACTTCTTTGGAGGCTGTGCTGCAGGCATGACCCTCGGAGCTCGAAGTAAGTCCCAGGCAGGGTTTCTGCGGCCCTGCCCACCAACTCAAGGCTGAACTGGCTGTTCCAAATCTCCCAACCCTGTGAATTAGAGGGGCTCAATCTCATTCAGCCCCCTCGTTTTCCATCTGAGGAAACTGAGGCTGAGAGAGCCAAAGCCACTCGTACAGGAAATCAGTAGGGGAGTGGAATTCAAATCCAAGTCTTCTGACCCTCTGTCTTTCCTTTATATCAGATTGCCTCTGTGTTCCCTCCAGATCCAACAATCTCTGACTGTAAAACAGAGGGCCTGAACTCGGCGACCTCTCAGACCCCTTTTAGCTTTGGTATTGGTCTGATAACTGGGCCCTGATCGGATTAGTGGTGCCTCCTCTAATCTTTCTTGATGGAACAATCCAGGAGCTAGAGTGGGGCGTAGGGGCTTTAACCTCTGTGCCTGTTAGAGGGAGTCTGGGGGCAGGAAGTCTGTTGTTTTGCCGTCTTGATGAGAGAATTAACTTGCCCGGAGTGACCCGGTGAAGCTGGGGCCTGTGGGCCGAGAGCCTTCTCCCAGGCTGGTTCACCCCTCTCCTTGGCCTGGCCTTTCGGTCCTGCCCCCTCCAATAGAGGCCGTGCTCCCTTTGTGACCTGGGCAAGTCATTGGACCTCACTGGGCCTTGAGCTTCTTATTTCTAAGATGAGGGAGTTGAACCCCCTCTGAAGCCTTTGAAGCCCCCTTTCTAGCTCTAAATCTTAGGGTGCTAGAAGCACTTTGGCTGTGGCTTGTGGAGGAGGGTGGAGAGGGTCAGCATTGCGGTAGTGGGCATAGGTGGGTGTCCAGACTGTGCTCCCTGCCCTGCCCCCTGACTTTTCCTCTCTTGCAGTGCACAGCTATACCAGCGGGGCAGCAGCGTGTGTATACGTGGGTGCCGCCGCTGCCCTTTTGAAGTTGGGCAAGCTGGAAGGTTGGAAGCTGGCCAGCGGGCCCCGAGTCTAAGCACCGACAATGCCTTTGTGAGGTGTTTTGTAAAAAAAAGGTTGATATATAGTAACCCTACTCAGCATTTCCCCAATTTCCTCATTCTCTGATGTTAAATAAAGCTCGAAACAGCTTGATGCTGTGTTGAAGTTGTCTTCTTCTTTGGCCAGACACCGCCCCCATCCTTGTGGACTGGATATGGCCAGGTGGCCGAGGGTCGAGGACTTTTCACTGCTGAGATAATGGCTGTGAGAGAGCTTTGAAAAGGTTCCAGCTGCCTTTCAGACCTTTTGAACTGTATGTGCAGTAAACATCTTAGACTTAACATACCCCAAACTGAATTCAGCCATCTTCTCCCCTAAGCCCTGCCCCCCGTCCAAACTTGCCTGTTAGACTCATAACCTAGGAGTCATCCCCAGCTCACTGTCTGTCACCCCCCTCTCCCCACTTCCCATGTCCAAGCTGTCCATCTCAGCTCTCCTGCATCTCTCAAATACGCCCCCTTCTCTCCTCTGACCCTGCCCCCGCTCTGCTGTAGGCCCTCATCACCTGGATGCTTGCAGTGGCTGCTCAGGGAGAGGGGGCTGCCTGCCTTGAGTCTCTCCCCACGCCAGTCCGTCCTCCATTCAGCCACTAAAATGGTTTTCCTAAAATGCGAGGCCAATCATGTCACCCCCACCCCACTCAGTAAACTCCAGCGGCTCCCTGTCGCCTCCAGGATCAAATACCCAGTGTTCTGTTTGGCATTCAAAGCCCTTCGTAACCTCTCTGCCTCCTTCCTTTCCAGTCTTCTTCTACCTTACTCCCTGCCACGCGCTCTACAGTCCAGTGACACGGGTCTCGTGGCCGTTCCATGAACAAGACCCTCCATCTCTCAGCCCAGGGCATTTTCTCTGTCTGTGACGCTCTCCCTCTGCCTCTCTGACCACTGGCCTCCCTGGCTTCCTTTGAGCCCCACCTAAAATCCTACCTTCTACAGGACGTCTTCCTCAGTCCCTCTTAATTTGAATGCCTTCCCTCTGTTAATTATTGTGTGTTTGTCCTGTATATGGCTTGTACATGTTTGTTTACTTGTCTTCTCCATTAGTCTGAGCTACTTGATGACAGTCTTTTGCCTTTTTCTATTTCCCCAGGACTTGGCACATAGTAGGTACTTAATAAATCCTTGTTGACTGACTGACTGACCGACTGAAAAATGCCGTGTAATGGGATATTATACTGTTTTGTGGCTCCCACTGGGCCACGCAAGTGACATCAGGTGAAGGTTGTCAGGTCAGGTACCATGAGGTAGTGATTAACATACTGGACTTACCCTTGGGAAGACCTGGGTTCCAGTCCGACTCAACAATCATGTGACTCTAGGTAAGTCGGTTAGCCTTGATAAGCCTCAGTTTCTTCATCTGTACAATGGGGGGTTTGGACTCGACTTCTAAGGTCCCTCCCCTCACTAAAATTATGAGTGGAAGCGTTGAATTTGGAGTCAGGGGACTGGGTCTGCCCCTTAGCTTTGTGACCTTATGCATGACCTTTCCCTTTCCTGGTCCCATTTCCTCTGTGGACCTCTGGCAGTCTGGTGAAGTCTGAGTACCCCTTCTCAAGTCAACATGCATTTAAAGGCTGACCAATGTGCCAGGTGCTCTGCCAAGCACTAGAGATTCAAATAAAAGCAAGACGGAGTCCTTGCCCTTAAGGAGCTTATAATCTAACGGGAAGGCAACACCTGAAAGGATCTGAAAAGCAAGGGGTACAGGGAAGTGGGGGAGGGGGAGGGAATGGGGGCAAAGTCCTGGGAATGAAGGAAGGCTGCTTGGGGATCCTTCTTCAAAATGGAGCTGCTAGGGGCAGCTAGGTGGCACAGCAGATAGAGCACTGGCCCTGAAGTAAGGAGGACTTGAGTTCAAACCAGCCTCAGACACTTGACACTGTGTCACCCTGGGCAAGTCACTTAATCCCATTGCAAAGTGATAGCAAAATGGAGCTGCTGGGAGGAGCTTACTAATGGGCGAAGGGGACCTCGGGTGGAGAGAGAAAGCAGCCTCTAATGGTGTTCTTTCTTTCTCTAATCTTCCCTGGGTAAGAGCCATTCAGTCCTGTACGCAGCATCAGGGAGAAGGTAACTCATTTTCTTAATCATTTGGTTTCCAGTCAGTTGAGAAAGACGGACACCCATAGGAAGCTTCCTAGTGAAGTCATTTTGTAGAAATCATTGACAGCTGTTCAGATCTGACTTCCTTTCCTTGGATAGCCAGTGCCTTTTTTTTCTACGTTCTCCCTTTTTTTTAGCTTATGTTTAGGGTCATATTTTCCATTTGACGTGTGTGTGTGTGTGTCCACACACACATATATTACTGAACACTTTGCAATTGGCTGCTTTTTTCACCAGGTTCCTAATGTATTGAGAATATTTTCAAATCTATGAAGTAAAATAAACAGGATTATAAAGGAAACCACTTACATTGAGATACAGTTATCAAAGTATTAAAAAAAAAAATTCACGAACTCCAAGTTAAGAACTCTTGGACTAAATTACTATTAGAACAACCCTTCCAGTTCTAAGTCCTAGAACCATATGGGCAAGGATGAACAGCCCTGAAGTGATATTTGGATGGGCTTTATAGCCACTGTTGAATTGACACAGGAATCAGAATGATGTGTCATCTCGTACTAGGTGTCCAGTACTGTGCTGGCCTATCCCAGGTGGGCTAGATCTAGGAAGGAGCTGAGATATATACACATAGAGAGAGGGAGGGATGGAGGAGGCTGGAGGCGAGAGAGGAAGGAAAGAAAAGGAAGAAGGGAGGGAGGAGGAGAGAGAGGAAGGGGAGAGGGAAAGAGGGAGGAGAGAGGAAGGGAAGGGGGGGAGAAGAGAGAGGGAGGGGAAGAAAGAGAATTAGTTCGTATTCTCAGGGAGCTTCTAGGCTGGCTGGACCAATGAGATCGCAGAGGCCATCTAGTTCAATATTCCCATTTCATAAATGAAATTAAGGCCCGGTAACATTAGATGACTTAGCCAATGTCACTAAGGGATTCGTCTGAAAAATCCGGTCAGACCTAGGTCTTTCCCTCAGGGTTGCTTGAAAGTCCAGGCTGAAGAAGAAATGAGTCTAGTCTCAGAGTAGCGTGGGTTTCTCCTCCCCTCCCCACCCCCCCAGCCATATTGTACAGTGTAGATAATGAAGGGAAATGGAAAAAGGGGAGCAGCTTGCTGTGGGCTGCAGTGGACAGAGGGGGCTTGAGGTGATGGTCCTCAAAGGATGTAGAGGCTCAGGCTGCTGCAGGGTAAGCCTTTTGCATGCTGTTTGCCCTGATCTCTGAGGGTGTACCAGCAGGCAGCTAGGTGGTGCAGTGGATAGAACTTGGGTCCTAGGGTCAGGAAGACTCATTTTCCTGAGTTCAAATCCAACCTCAGACACTAAACTAGCGGTGTGACCCTGGGCAAGTCACCTAACCCTGTTTGCCTCAGTTTCCTCATCTGTAAAATGAACTGGAGAAGAAAATGGTAAACCATTCCAGTATATTTGCCAGAAAAACCCCAAATGGGGTCATGAAGAATTGGACGCAACTGAACGACAACAACTCTGTACCAGCATTAGGAAAGGTAACCCTGCTTGTGCACCATATTGCCCTGAGGCTGGTTGTGGGAGTGGGGGGGGGCGGTGGAGAGATGAGTGCCTGCAGCTGGGAGCCACATTTGGCCAGGTGTTGGCCAGGAACACACTGGAACGCTGCCTGACATGGAAGGATGTTCTGCCAAGCTCGCAGCACTTTTTAACCCTTCACCAGCCTCAGAGGCTAAGGAAAACAGCATAAGGCAGGAGGTGCCCTATGCTGGCCCACTAGGGAGGTGGTTTTTCAAGGAGGTACAAGAAAGAATCCCTTAATGCATTTCAGCCTCAAATTATAACACCAACAGCAATAATAGCATTTATACAGCACTTTAAGGTTTGTAAAACACTTTTCATATATATCATTTTACCCTCACAAGAGCCCTGGGAGGTATGTGTTATTATGACCCCCATTTTACAAATGAGGAAACTTAGGCAGGCAATGGTTCAATGACTTGCCCAGGGTCACACAGCTACTATCTGAGGTTGGATTGGACCAGGTCTTCCTTCTGCCAAGTCTAGCGCCTTATTCACTGGGAACTCAAAGATGATATCCAACCACTCCGTGCAGATGAAGAGACTGCAGCTTAGAGACCCAAAAGTAACCGAAAATCACACTAGTGAAAAGTGGCAAAGTCAGGATTCAAACCCAAGCCTGACGACACTAGGGCCAAGGCTCTTTCCACTGAGGTTCTTTCCAAGCCATACCATAGAGCATCGGCCCTGGGAGGGACACCGCCGTGGAATGTGCTACCATCAATATGCAAGCACATGTTGACTTAACTGTGGAACCTGGGCTTAGTCAATCCCCCTCTGAACCTCAGTCTGTTCAACCATCAAATGGGGATGCTAAACCCCGGCCCATTGACCTTCCGTGGTGGTAGGAATATCAAATAAGAAAGGCTCAGCAGGAAAGAGCTTAGTATATATGTTGGGTTTGATCAATAGCAGCAACTGGAGGGGTGTAGTGGATAGCACATTGGGCCTGGAGTCAGGAAAACATCTTCATGAGTTAAAATCCAGCCTAAGACACTTCCTAGCTGTGTGACCCTGGGCAAGTCACTTAACTCTGCCTCAGTTTCTTAATATGTAAAATGAGCTGGAGAAGGAAATGGCAAACCATTCCAGTATCTCTGCCAAGAAAACCCCAAATGGGGTCATGAAGAGCTGAACAAGAATGAAATGGGGGGCAGGTAGGTGGCGCAGTGGATAGAGCACCAGCCCTGAAGTCAGGAGGACCTGAGTTCAAATCTGGCCTCAGACCAAATACTTGGCACGTACTAGCTGTGTGACCTTGGGCAAGTCACTTAACCCCAATTGCCTCACTAATAAAAAATACAAAAAACAAAAAAACAAGAATGAAATGACTGAACAACAACAAAATAATCAATATTCTGGTCACCCTCAAGTCTTCCTAGGACCAGATTTCTGAAGTCTTCCAACTCTGCATCTTATAGAAGGCATGGAGATTCCGTTCTTAGGGCCCACTTTCCAGAAATGAATCACCTGCTTCCCGGGAAGCCCAAACTATTACGGGCTTTGACACGCTTCGAGCAGGCCATAAATTAATGAATTCAGTCTCTCCCTACCCCACCCAGCTCAGTCCCCAAGGCACCATCAGGTAGATGTGTTTAGCTCTGTTTCTCTGCCTGCTGGGTTGTCGAGGGAGACGGCCCTATTCCTGGCTCTCCCATAGACCTTGAGCCCAGGCTTAGCTTCAGGTCTGAAGCCAGGAATGGGCAGAGCTCCAGTCCTGGAGGGAGGGAGTGTCCAATTGACTGGAACGTCCAGGCTTACCCGTATTGCCTTCTGTCTGCTACAGCCTTCAGCCTCTCCTCTTAATCCATCCAGCAAAAGGCTACCAGGGCCATTTTCTTTCTGAGCAGATCATGGTTACCACATGCATGGTGATCTTGGGAAAGTCACTTGACCTTCATCAACACAGTTAAAGATATAGACGGCATGTTTGTTCAAAGTGGCAGCTGGCCTAAGTCTAGGAGCATGGCCAACATGCTAGATGGAGGGCAGAATGTTAAAAAAAAATAAAATAAAAAAGACCTAGTATGAAGCACTGGTCTCTGGTAGGGCTTTCCTGCCCCTGCCCTCCTTTGATCCTCCGAAAGCCCCATGAGGTAGCTAGAGCACGTCAAAGCATAGAGTGCCTGACCTTAGGAGCCATCTGGGTCGGCCCCCTCATTTTAGAGATATGGAAAAAAATGGAGAGATGCATGAAAGTGATGCATGGAAATTTTAACAGATAATACATGGAAAAACCAGGTTACAAACTCAGGTGCTTTGATTCAAAATCCACCTCTCCCCTGCCCCCCATTGCTCAGGTATAATCCCCCTTTAACAGATTAGGAAAGTTAAGACACAAAGAGTGTCTCACAAAGGGCGTATTTACATAAAATCAGTGACAGGCCAGTGCTAGGAGCCAGGTCTGAGGAGTTCTGATTTAAAGTGTCTTGGAAATCTCAGGGGAGAATAGGGATGCAGGCCCTCCCCACCTGCCACCTTGGGGATCCTTCTCTCTGAGCTGATGGAGTTGCTTTTTCTCCAGTAACCACCAGGGGGCAGTGTCCACTAAGGTTCCCATGGGCAGCCTTTCCCACTATGGCTAAACTGAGCTGAGCTCCTACAGAGCCCCTCTGCTCAGGGAAGCCAGAAAGCCAATGAAAGATGCGGGGAGGGCAGGAAGCCTATCTTTGGAGGAGACACTGGTGAGATGAGGCCTTTGAGAGTGGGGCCTCCCTGACACAGGAGCCCCAATCACAATGGCTTTAAGGTTTCCTGAAAGCTTTCCCTATGATAACTCTGTGATAGGTAGTGAAAGCATTATTGCCCCCATGTTACCGATGAGGAGACTGAGAGATTAAAGGCGGTAATTCTGGAGTCAGACGACCTACGTTCATAATCTGGCCCCTCTGCCTCTCTCACACTCTGTGTGACCTTGGGACTCCCTGGGCTTCAGTTTACTCATCTGTAGAAAGAGGTGGGACGGTTCCTACCCAAAGAGATGGGAAGGTTCCTTCCAGCTCTCAATCTGTGACACCAAGACTTGCCTGGGATCATATGGCTAAAAGGGTCAGGGCTCAAAGTTTAACTCAGGTCTCCTGCCTGCTAATATCAAACAAGATCAATCCCTTACTTGATAAATCGTTCCCCAGTCCCCAGCTATGGGAGCAAGGGGTGGGAATGGGAGAAGACCTGGGCTCTGCCCACAGGTCATAGTGTGGCAGAGAACAGAGTCCTGGAAGAGCTGCACTAAGAGGCCAGGACCTTCTTTGAGAGTCTGGGGTCAGCCAAACCCTATGGTCCTAAGCGAGAGCTGGAAAAGAGACTAGAGATCAGCAGACTCCTAGAGATGGCAGCAGCCTTAGAAACTGTCTAAACCTTATATTTTACAGAAGAGGAAACTGAGGCCTGAAGTGTCTGAGGTCACAAAGCTAGCAAGTTGCAAGACTGAAACTTGGATTTAGGTCTTCTGACTTTCCCCTATACCACCTTGCCTTCTCATTTCACAGATGGAGAAACTGAGGCCCAGAGAAGGGAAGTGGCTTTCCCACGGAGCCCTGGACTGGGATTCAGAAGACCAGGTTTCTACTAACTTGCTGTACGATGTTATGGCTCTGTGACTTCATAAGGAATTCCTGGGCATGTGGCCTAATGGTATAGCCCCACTCCACCCCCTTCCCTTGGCCCTCGATGGAAGGTATGGCCACCTACTGAGTTCTCAGGGGTCCTAGAACATGCATCCAGGGAACAGCCCTTGCCCCATAAACTGTTCCTGGAGTGTGAGAGAGCCCAGGGGCTGGGATAGAAAGGAGAACAGCCCATTCCCCTGCTCCAGACTTTGGAGAAGTGAAATGATAAGTCGGGAACCTAAGGTTCTAGTGTACCTCTGATACTGTGCAACTTGAAGTAAATTACTACCCCCTTTCTGGGCCATGGTTTTCTCATTTGTAAAATGAAAGATTTGGACCAGCAGGGTTCCCAAGGCTTCCTCTAGCTCTTTCTATGCTCCGTATTCTGAGGGCCCTCATCCTGCTCTGATATTCTATGATTCTAAAATTCTGAGGATCTCTTTTCAACTCTTTCTCTAGGGAAAGGGGTCAGCACTAGGACTCAAGAGAGACTGGGCAGGATTCTGCTGCTGCTCACATCACTGAAGAACTTTCCAAAGGCCTTTCCCATGAATTAGCTCCTTGGATTCTCCCAACAGGCCTGGATAGAAAACAGGGAAGGTATCATTATTTCTTCTGTTTACAGATATGGAAACTGAGGCTCAAGGAAGTAACTTGCCCAAGCTCACCCCAGGAAGAACCGGAGGCAGAGTTAGGCCCAGAAAACCCAGGTCACCTTAGTCTCAGCCCTGGCACTGTAAAGCACTCTACATGTCTTTGTGTGTTATGTCTATGTATTATATATACACATATATAATATGCACACATGTATATATGTCTATTGATATAATCTCATTTGTGGGAGAGGGGAAGGACACAGCAGGGAAGGGGAGAGTTTGACTTTCCCATGGAGTAAGTGTAGGATTCCAGGCCCCCTGGCCCCCCAAACCCTCTGCTCCTGGCTAGTCTCAGAGGTCTGTTTGCCTGGGGCTGCTCGGGGCCTGGGCACGATGCCCACAGAAAAATAGAGTTCCAGGAAGCCATCCAGTTCCTCCACTCCCTGAGCCCATCTGCCATCCCAAGGCGGCTGGGCCTGGGGGGGAAGAGGGTGCGCGGAATCAACAGGGGTTGCAAGGGGAGGAGGGGGCAGAAGGAGAAGGACGATCTGGGATTCTGTGTGCTAAGGTGACCTCTAGCTCTGAGATTCTGCCTTCTGTGTTCCCAGGTCTCTCCCAGCTCTGACAATGGATTGTCTAAATTCCCTTCCCACTGTTATACAGAAGTGGCAAGGGATGAGCCTGGGGCTCTGCAGGAGAGCCATTGTATAGGGACTGAGGTAGTGGCATCCCTCTCCCCATTTTCTGAGAGCCTGAGGTCTAGCCCGGGCAGGGTGAGGGGCGGCGTCCCTCTCCCCAATTTCTGAGAGCCTGGGG